TATTGGACCAGCAAACCTGGTCCTCACCATTGAAACAAAGATATATATTCTTAAAATATTAGACTTCAAAAAATAAATGCATAGGTTTAGAGAGCCATGAGGAATTTTAGATAATTTTTTCATGAATAAAAATACAGGCCCAAGGGTATTAGAATATAAAAAAAATTATATGGCTAAGTTTTTGTAAGTATAATAGAATCTTATTTCTTAAGCTGGTAAGTGTTTCTTATATTATTCTTTATATTTTGTTTTGCTGAAAGATCTTTTTTTTTTTAATTCAAGTCAGGTAGATTTTAATGAAGCAATTATAGCCAAATATTTAGTTCATGATGCCACTGAAAGGAGAATATTAAAAAATAAAATATAAACTTTTCTTATTTTGAGGCAATAATGTGCAATGGTTAAGGTTGCAGTTTCTTTTTCTTTTTTTTTTAATTGTAGTTTGGGTGAAAGTTTACAAAACAAATTAATTTTCCATTTGACAATTTATACATATTTTGTTTTGTGACACTGAATGCAGTCCCCTCAGTGTAACAGCACTCTTCTCACTTCCTCCCTGGACTCCCTGTTCCTGTTCACCAATCTTTCCTACCCCTGCCTGTCTATTCGTTTTTAAGCAAATGCTGCTCTTTTGGTGTCATATGGTAGATTGTATGGAGGAATATATTCCTCCCTGGTCTTATTTACTGTTCACAACATAGGAAGGGCCTGGCCTCTGAAAACACACAGCCTAGGCTAGAATCTTAGTTTTAATACTTATTGGCTGTGTGTAACTAATTTGAACAAATTATTTAATCTCCCTGAGCCTCAGGTTCCAAATCTATAAAACAGGAACAATACTAATAAACTAAGAATGATACCTAACAGTGTGTATATATGTAAAGTTCTTAGAATATTATCTGGGAGATACTAAACGCTATATAAGTCTTTCTTCATGTTGTTATGTTTTTATCTGTAGGATATCCAGGAGATATTTGGAAAAGAAATCTGAATTTCAAGAGAGAGGTCTTAACTGGTGATATAAAACTAAGCATCACAAGAAAAAACAAACAGGCACACTCTTACAAGTGCTCCTGGCAGATAATAAGTACTATATAAAAATAATCTATCATTTTAAATAAGCATCTAAGTCAACTCAGTTTAAACTTTTCAAAAATGGAAGTTAGCTAACATTAAAATACATGTAATAAAGGTTCATTAAAATTCAATAAATCAAAATAAATCATGGTGGTTAACTTTCTTGGATTTGTGCTCATAAATATTAAATAGAAATTTAAAATACAAGAATGTTTATTTCTTAGATTACATTTATATAAAACCTAAATTTAGAAGGAAAAGTACCAAAACGATAACTAATAATTATGACAAGAATAACAACACTAGCTTTAACTTCAAAACATTTTCAAATTTATTTAGAATGAAGTTCAATATAACTACAGCTATTTCTTATTCCTATGAGCCACAGGAAACCTCCTCCAAGTGTATTATAACCCTCAGGTTTCTCAGGCTTTGGTGTACCAATACCAAACAGCAATAGTATTTCTCCAGGCTTTCTATCTTATCCTCAGACAAGGACTGGGGAGCTTTGGCTAAGTTATAACCAGTATAAACAAACTTGAAAATAGAGTATGGATGCCAGGTAGGTGGTTTAAAACTAATTTGAAAAATCTGCTACTCCCAACATGCACCAAATATGATTATTCAGCAATTGTTTTCTGCCTAAAAATATTTTTTAACTTCCATTCACATCATAATTGGACCTACTGAATTCTGCCATTGGAGTCTATTATTAGCAACAGAAACTTTCTAAAGCAACAGAATAAGGGAAAGAAGGGGAGTAATTAACAAAGTAAAAAACCAATAGATAAAGGACATGGGGATTTCCCCTTAGAGGATGGGGTCTAGGGTTGGTATTCTGTTTAAAATTGGAGTGTACAGGCTGCATTATATCAGTTCGCTATGGTGGCGTAGTGCCTAAGGCACTTGACTGCTAACCAAAAGGCTGGAGGTTCAAACCCACCAGCCACTCCTGGGAAGGAAGATTGGGCAGTCTACTTCCGTAGTGATACTGCCTCAGAAACCCAAGGAGGGGTCGCTATGAGTCGGGGTCGCTTCATGGCACATAACAACAACAACATTGCAAAGGCAGTTTAGTCTCCCATACTAAAGGCTTTCCCTCCTTGCAAAGTTCCGGAGGAATACTCCCACAGAGCACAGAGTGAGGGAAAAAAGTGCAACTGGTCGATTGGATTAACTCAGGCAATTATGAGAGTGACCTATAGTAAAAGTCAGAAATATCTGATTTCAATTTAAGAGTTCCTGCATTTTTATAAGTGATATTACAAAAAAAAAAAAAAAAAACTACCTAGACTATTTCCACACTACAATTCTAGGGTGGTCCCAAAATTCTTATATTTACAAGGCCTAGAATTTTCAAACATGCTTGATAATTAAAACAACAGGTTTATATTAAAAATTATCAATTTGTATTTTTCAAAATATCATCATTATGATTTCTTTGATTTTGAGAGGAAGAAATGTTAAGTTTATGCCTCACTGGGTTTCAATAAGAATAGGTAATAAGTTTTTTAAAGGACTGGCAAAGACAGGCAATATTGTGATAGTTTTCCTGACAGGATAGATTACTGGCAATGGTGCGTTTAAGGGATTTTCTATTTTTGTATCTCCCTTTTGGTGATCCAATTAAGACAAGTGAGGTTTTTCTCTTCTACCTGAATAATATATAAAATTTCCTTTCCTCTAATATAAGAAACCTGATACCTTGAAAAATACCATCTTTAGTGAATGTATAACTGAGACCTTATTTTAAGAATGGATTATTTAAAAATCTCATATAGTTATTATAATCTACATTAAGATACATCATTACAACATATATAGAAAAGAAAAAATCTTCTGGACAAATAGAACTATTAATTCTCAAGAACATGAAATAAAAGCCTTTTTAGAAAAAATTACACAAGATTTTGCAAAAGTCTTTTAATACAACATGAATAAATTTCTGTTAAACTTAGCAAGCTTAGTATTTCTAAAATGACTGCTTTATTCTTTTGCCTAACCTATAAAAATAGTATCATTGTTCATAAAAGAGTATTTAGCACTATGGGTAATAGATCAGAACATCAAAACTTCAAAAGTACCATGTTCCCTACAACTAAAATAAACAATCGTTTAATCCAAAAATCACCACACTGTATTTGAAATTATCATTCAATTTAATCACATCTTAAGGAAAAAAAAATTAAAAGATGACTGACAAAACATGAAGTATTTAAACATAAATATAATCACGTATTAAAAAATAAAAACAAAAACCTATGGTAAGAGAAAATCACTCAATAAGCACTTGAACATTTGTATTAATTGATATTCTTTAGCACATCTGAAATAATGAATTATTATATTTGCAAGAGATATAATAGGCTAAATTCATATGCGTAAAGTCTAATGTAAAAATGATGGAAACTTTTCCTTCTTTGTCTGCTAGCTGGCTCCCTGATTGCATCTATTTTCTCCTAATATATAGATATTGCAGAAAAACAGCTCCTACACAATTAAATGATAATTTTCAACACTTTCTGTACCTTTTCCCCACCAAATTCATCCATCCTGGAACATTTTCAATAGCTTACTGGTAATTCCTCAAAAAGTTCAGTCAGTTCATCCACTGCCATCTCCTTTTGTGCTTCAAATACAGTTAGAAAAACATAAAAGCTCAAAGAAGTTGGAAAAGCAGAGAGTTTCAAAAGGCTGCCAGTGAGGCCTTTTGTTGAGAAATTCTACTTCCTAAAAGTCAATAGGTCAAAATTACTCACAGCTGGAGGCAAGGGTCTTCTGAAAACAAAATTGTTTTAGCAACCTCCATCAGATTTAAAATGCTCCTTTATCCACAATGGAGTAGACATGGCCACTAATGATCAGAGAATCAATCACTTTCCGGATATTTCTAACGCTCATGTTTTGAAGCTCTGTCCGGAGCTCCCGGATACTCTTTTCCTTCAGGTTGAGGACTCTCGTGAATCAAGCGTAGCACGTCTTTCCGGATGAAGTTGATGTGGCGTTCGATGTAATCCATGGTGTCACTCATTCCCCATGGAGCAACAGGCTCACTTTGTCCAGTGGTCGCTCTGCGAACTTCATCCAGCATCATGTGTGCATTGACTGTTTCTAAAACATGTACGGTGAGCTCATTTGTATCTTCCAGGGCACGGATTTTCAATATCTCAGGGCTCTTTGTTTCAGCCAGTACCTTTGAGGATACCAAAAACTTTGGCATATACTCCAAGTGGAAGCAGAATCACCCACTTTGCTTCATTTCTGCCAAACCACAGCCACGCCACTATAGGCTTCAACGTCATATCATCAGTTTTGTAAAGAATATAGCGTGGTGCGCCCTCTGCCTGTCTGATTGTCCAGACAACAGAGATTTGGGAAATTTCAGTTCCCCAAATCTTAAATACACTGCCAACCAGACTGGAGGTGAGCAGCTGGTTTACACAACAAGGTTTAATGTCCTGTATTCGAGCATTGGATTTTCAGGGCTTAGTAGCAGAAGCTGAACCTCCCCCAGAGGCTTGTTCACTACCTCCACAGGCTCCGCCTACAGCAGAGGAGCTGCTGTAACTCCCAAACCCGCTATTACTCATCTTAACAACTGCTCTGGCAGGTGAGGAGGTGTGGTTCTGATCCCTACAATTACCCAATGCCAGCTCCACATTCTACCAAGGACGACTACAGCAGATCGCCTGAATTTAGGCGACACGATCGACTTATACTTCCCTAGAGTCAATGAGCTACCAGAATGCAGCTGCCTTCAGCCAATCGGAATCTACAAGGTTCTCTTCCATCTCCCACATCTTGGACTGTGTAGTTGCTGTGCTGCATTTGAAAAGCTCCATCTGCTACTTCATCCCTTTCTGGCCATCTTTATAAAAGTGCATCTTTACATTTTTTTTTTCTTTTCATTCCTGAATGCCAAACTTCTTCTATAAAACCACTTTTTAAAGATCCATTTATTCACTAATGTAATCAATGATTCAATAGAAATTTTTGCAGCACAGAAGTGCTAGGCACTAGGTAGGGTCTTGTGGGTTATATTCAGGAAGAAGAAAGAAAGAAACACCACCACGACCATGGTTATTTTCCTAAAGAATTCACATTCCTTGTTCAAATCATTAAAATCAGAAGTGTTCATGAAGAAATGGAGAACCACTGTTAAATTACTATAATACTCAAAGGTAAGTCACCTCTCATGACTTTTAAAGATCTTTCATTGCAGAATTATAATCTTCCAGCTATTTTGCTAAGTGTACAGTTAATGTAAACAAATTAAATACAGTGAAACCAGAAAGAGCCGAACTCGATGGTCTCCCTTGTTTTTCCCGGTCTTGCAAGTTTTTTGGCTGTCACTCTCTACTGAGGAGCTCTGGTGGCACAGTGGTTAAGGCATTTAGCTGTTTACCAGAAATTTGGCAATTCAAACCCACCAGCTGCTCTGGAGGATGAAGATGAGGCAGTCTATTTATGTAAAGATTTACAGCCTTGGAAACGCGACGGGGGTCACCATGAGTCAGAATCAACTTGATGGCAGTGGGTTTATCACTCCCTGCTAGTGGAAAATATTTGATTTTCCTTCTCTGACAGGTTTCCCACCTTACACATATTCTGACTTGTACAGGTTTTACAGTAATACGATGCACTTAAATTTATATATAAATCTATACTGAATGGCTGAATTCTAAATTAAATTTATTTTCAGGATTCTGTAGACAGTTCAAGAGCTCAGTGGTACTGTGGTTAAATTTTTGGACTGCTAACTGAAAGGTCTATAGTTCCAGGCGTTCAGCAGGAGAAAGATGAAGCCATGTGCTTTTGTGAAGATTTACAGCCTTGAAAACTATATGGGGCATCTACTCTGTCCTATAGGGTAGAACCAATTCAAATGTCAAAGGGTTTTTGGAAGACAGTGCAGAGAAGTACAAATCATGGCCCTATTGTTACAAGTTAGGAAAAAACCTGAATAAAATGAAAATGAGGTTTTCCTTTTTAAACTAGAATGTCTCAACCCACTGTCTTTCTGCCTTACCACCTTGGGCAGGACGATGAGTGTCTCTGTGATTGATTTCTCAGCTGTGAAATGAAAAGGCTGCTCTAAATCTGTTTTTTTTTTCCTTTCATCACCCAAGTTAATATGTGTCTACCCTCTAATTATTGGTTATTCCTCCCTTCCCCACCCACCTCTAGTAACCAAAACAGTATTTCCTTTTTTGAGGAAACGCTTTTATTTTTTACAATAGTGGTCTCATAAATATTTGTCCTTATGTGACTAACTTCATTCAGCATTAAAAAAAAAAAAAAAAAACACTTCCATTGAGTTCATTCCAACTCATAGTAACCCCCATTGGGATTCCAAAGCTGTAAATCTTTAATGGAAGCAGACTGTCCCATTTTTCTTCTGCAGAGCGGCTGGTGGGTCCAAAACACTGACCTTTCTGTTTAGCAACCAATGTCATTACCACTGCACCACCAGAGCTCTTTTCACTCAGTATAATGGGCTCTAAATTCATCCTTGTTATGAGATGTTTCTCAGATTCACTGTTATTTAATGTTGTGTAGTATTCCATTGTGTGTGTGGTAGTTAAATTTGTATGTCAACTTGTCTGGGTCTGGTTGAGTGGCTGGGCAGCTGGTGGTAGTTATTCCCCATGATGAGACTGGCAATCAACTCCATGGTGGGATCTACCACAAGCAGCTGAGTAGCTGCCTTTGTGATGTGGTCTGCTTCCTATATATAAGCAGAAGCTTTACGGCACGCTTGGACCCTACGTGTAGCTGTGTCATTGTTCAGCAGCCTGCCATTCTCTGCTGACCATGGGACTTACAATGGACTTGAATTAATGGCCTGCCATGTGGTTTGGTAACATTGGGACTGTGCCATTTTATTTGTCAACCTTGGGCTTGTTAGCCTCAGCAGCCAGGGCTGCCTGAGTGTAGAGATGCCTCTCAAGCTTCAGTGGGCTGGGAATTAGAGGCAGAGCTAAAGCCCAAGGTCAAGAGGCTTTCATCCAGCCCCTAGAGCCTGGCACTTTGGACTTGGACTTAAAGCCTACAAACTATGAAAAAATAAACTCCTGTTTGTTAAGGGCATCCCATTTGTGGTATATTTCTGTCAGAGGGGCACTAGGTAATCAGAACAGTGTGTATGTACCAAATTGTATTGATGCATTCCTCCACTGATAGGCATTTAGGTTGTTTCTATCTAATTGATAACTGTGAACAATGCTACAATGAACATGGATGTGTATATATTTGTTCTTGCCATGGCTCTTATTTTTCTAGGATATATATTTAGTAGTGGGATTGCTGGATCAAATGGTATTTCTATTTCCAAACTTTTAAGGAAGTGCCATACGTTTGCCACTGTCTTTCTGCCTTACCACCTTGCATCATTTCACAACCCTACCAGGAGTGTATGAGGGTTCCAGTCTCTCCACTACCTCACCAACATTTGTTGTTTTCTGTTTTAATGCTTAATAAAGGAACAACAGTTATTGAAATACACCATTGGCAAATGACCTTAGTAATACTCATTTTTAGTTAGTTAGTAGTCTACATGTGTAGAAACTTTAAAAGTTAATTTATATTATCTTTCTCATTTCTTTTTATAAGATAAAATACTTAACTTTCCCTATCCCAAAATTACAGAAATGCGCCACTGTCCGTTTGCAAACAAAGTCAGTTTGCACTCATAGTGACCTTATAGGACTGAGTAGAATTGCCCCATAGGGTTGCCAAGGCTACAAATTTTTACAGAAGTAGATTGCCTCGTGTTTCTCCTGCAGAGCAGTTGGTGGATTCAGGCCACTAACTCTTTGTAAGCAGCCGAATATTTTAATCTCTCTATGCCATCAGTGCTCCTCAATGTGTGAATACTATATCTAAAACTGGTAGAAAAACATAGGATTATATTTACCTCTCAGGGCTACAAATGTAATCATAAAGCCAATAAACTTGTTTTAAAAATAAATATATAACAATCATTATCTGAGTACAGAAATAGGTTTCCATGTAAATGCACAGATATTTAATTTCTAATTCTATATATTATCAAGGAGGAATTAAATATCCAAGTAATATTTATATTCTGAAAATTACATAATATTAAAGGTAAGATTAACTAAATATATTGTTTAAATGTTAACAATCCTCACACACTAGACATTGCTGTTTTATTAGGTATCAGACTTCTAGTGTCAAAATTCTGAGGTTAAAAATAACATAACTGATTCTATTTCCAAGTAATTAAATACAATACATATTTTATTAATCATGCCAAAATGATAAGAACTACCTACCTGACAGGATTGCTGGTTAAAGAAACCCTCAAGGATTCTAGGCAATTAAGAAGTTTCTCATCTGAAATACCAGATCGTAATTCATGAACATATTCTTGTGAAGACAGGGTACATTCATGTTTGCTGTTTTTCAGCCCTCCCTATAAAAGAATAAACAATACTATTAGAGACAACAGTTTAAAAATAAAACAATGCATATTTATAAATATTTAATATGTGAGAAAGTGTACAAAGTGCTGGACACTTAAAAAAAAAGTCCTGATCAAAGAATTGACTGTTAAATTATGTATATTGCAACACTCATTAGCCTCATTTAAAAGAAAAGTACACTACAGGTGCTTATGACCTGAGACTCATAGAATATGGACTTGAATTGTATAAAGTATCATTGACAAAACACAAACCAAACTAAACACACTGCCGTCGAGTCAGACCCAACTCATAGCAACCCCTCCTTGAGTTTCCAAGGCAATATCACTACAGAAGTAGATTGTCCAATCTTCCTTCCGAGGAGTAGCTGGTGGGTTTGAACCACCAGCCTTCTGGTTAGCAGTCAGATGCCTTAGGCACTATGCCACCAGAGCTCCCAAGTGACAGGGGTGCTTAAATTTATAATCCAGGAATCAGGATTAACATTAGGTGGTCCTCCTTAACCCAGAAGATGAACATTTAGGAATCACCTTCCTAATTTTCCTAGTTAAGCTATTTATAGTCTACAAAAGACAGTAGAGAGAATTGCAAATAAGGAAAACAAATATAAAACATTATACTAAACCCAACCTATTTAAATATATCAGAGTATCAGCCTATCTGAGAAAAACAAGTGAAAGGGGCTATTAAAATACAAAATAATAAGTCTCCAATTATCATGTTAGTTAATCAAAGCAGTCTAAAGCAGTCACCAAAGCTCACCTACCCCTTCCTAACTACATTACCCCCATGTTATTAATATTAAAAAGCCATTGAATGCATTTATCTGTTAACCCATCTATTGTCATCGAGTCAAATTTGACTCAAAGTGACCTTATGAGACACAATGGAACTGCCCATAGGGTTTCCAAGGCTGTAATCTTTATGGAAGCACAATGCCAAATCTTTCTCCCATGGAGCAGCTGGTGGGTTCAAACACTGACCTTTCCGTTAGCAGTGGAGTACATAACCACTGGACCACCAGGGCTCCTTATTTATCTGAGAGCAACCAATTTGTAGCTTAATTTCCAAAATACATGGGCTAGAGCTCATTATCTCATCACAGTTCCTTGGCTTCATCTCCTTGATATAACTATATAAATAGTTTCAGGAAAAGGCTGAGAGGAAAACATCAACACATTCACTATACTAATAACTCATAGATTTACATTCTAGACATACATCTCCCTAACTGCCCCTTACCTGGACTATAAATGTATTTGCCTGACTCTAACTTGAGTCCCATTTTCCTGGTTCATTCAAATTACACTCTGTTAAGTATCTAAGCTAGCACAAGGAAGATTTTTATTTTTTCTTTCCCATTTGGTAAGTCATATCATTAAAGAATAGCAAATTTTAAAAAAGGAAAAAAATGTGCTGATAATGATAAATGGATTCCCTAGAGTTTCATACTTTTTGGCCTTCGGGAGTGATTTCTTATATAGAAATTGTCAATCATTCTTAATTTTCTGAATTTAAAAACTCCATTAAATAGTGAATGCTTAAGGCTTGATAAATTTTTATAACATCTACAGAACTCTATTTCCTTGTAGCATGGTTGCAATATTACTATTAAACACATAAAACACTGTGGTAGAGAGTCTCTTCTAGATGTGAACTCCACGTATGCCTAGTGCTTAATATAGTGCCTGAATTTAGCGAACACCCAATAAAAGTGTGCTATTGTTGAATCTGTCCATAACCATTACAGAATAAGGAATACAATTTCATACTTTTAGTTTCCATGATCTGAGTATTGGCCACTGACTTGATTTTTTTTTCCTTTGTTAGGATAAACAGTACATGCTTAAGAACTGTACTTGATGAATCATCACAAATATGGCACAGTAAGTAAAAACATCACCATGAAATCATTTTAACATTTCTATCACTTACTTAAGGAGCCCTGGTGGTACAACGGTTAAGCGCTCAGCTTCTAACTGAAGTTGGTGGCAGTTCAAACCCTTGGCTGCTCCACGGGAGAAAAGACATAGCCATCTGCTCCCCTAAAGATTACAGCCTAAGAAACCCTATAGAGTAATTCTACTCTGTCCTGGAGGGTTGCTATGAGTTGGAATTGACTCAACAGCACACAACAAAAACAAAATAACTTATTTACCCATCACTTTAAGGCTGCAGTTATAGAAGGAGTAATAACAAGTAAAAATTTATAGCATAATTTGGAAATTTTAATGTTAACACTTTTATTTTTGCTGAATCAGCTCATTTTCTACATCAGTATAGTCTGTCAGTCACAATGAATGGATCCACTTACTACATGTATCAAATATCCTCAAAAATTACTATACAATTTCACGCCCACTAGGATGGCTAGAATTTTAAAAATATATATTTACAAGAATGTAAGGAAATTAGAACCTTTATTCATGGCTGGTACAAATACAAAATGGTACAGCTATTGTGGAAAACAGTGTACGAGGTCCTCAAAAAAATATAAAATAGGACTACCCAGCAATATGACTCAGCAATCCCAGTCCTAGGTATGTACTCAAAAGACCTGAAAGCAGAAATTCAAAAGGAGACTTGTACACCAAAGTTCATTATAGCACTATTCACTGTAGCCAAAAGGTGTAAACAACCTATATGACCATCTACATATGGATGGATAAACAAAATGTTTCAGAGGTTAATCCAGTGTCCAGGGCTCCAGAAAGTCTGGAGTCCCTGAGAATTTGAAATAAATTTGAAGTTTCAAATGAATTTGTACATGTATACGATAGATATATAATCAGCCCGTAGGAAAAAATGAAGTCTTGCCATGTTCTATAATATATATGGGGGAGCTCTGGTGGTAATGCCTAAGGCACATGTCTGCTAACCAGAAGGCTGGCAGTTCAAATCCACCAACACTCCTCGGAAGGAAGACTGGGCAATATATTTCCATAGAGATACCACCTCAGAAACCCAAGGAGGGGTCGCTATGAGTTGAATCAACTCAATGGCAGTGAGTCATGTCATGTCATGTCATAATATATTCAGAGTTAGAAGACATTGTGCTGAATGAAATAAGCTGATCACAAAAGGTCAAATTTGTATGACTTCACTTATTTAAAAAAAAAAGTGTTTAGAGAACAAAGGTTATTAATGGTTACCAGGGGCTGGAGGGAGGGGGGAAAAGGAGGTCAATAGTGATGTTTTGTGTACTGATAAAGGTAAGGTTGCAGAGGCAATTACTGTTAATTGCTGTAAGTTGCACATCTGTAAAAAGTTGAACTGGAAAAGTTGTGTGATATGTGGTAGATGTGCTGACACAATGCCCCCCCAAAAAAAGAGTAGCTACTGAGGCTGCTTATGTACAACCGAATACCTCACACGGTATGGTTCCTTGGTTTGGAAGTTCAGGGTCATGGTTTCATGGGACATCCCAGTTAATTGGCCTAATAACATGTTCAGTGCTTCTGTTCTACCTCCTAGTTCCTTGTATAGTGCTTGAGGTCTTAAAAGCTGGCAACAGATCATCCAAGGCACAACAGTTGGTCTCTGTTGGCCTGCAACAACAGAGGAAGGAGAAGATTCAGAAATAGGAGCATATGAAATGTGTGGCTAATTCCCTCCATGAACAACTGTCTCCTTTGCCATGAGACCAGAACAGGATGTTACCTAGCTACCATTACTGAATATTTTGATCAAAGATTCCACAGAGTAATCCTAACCGAAAGGGAGAAAATGTAGAACAGAATTTCAAATTCTCAGGGACTCCAGACTTTCTCGATCCCTGGGGGCTGAATGAACCCCTGAAACTATTGCCCTAAGATAATCTTTAAAATTTAAACCAGAAATAACCCCTGAAGTCTTCTTAAAACCAAATAGCTCAGCCTAACTAGTAAAGAATGTCTGCCTTGAGCATGGTGCTCTTGTAAGAACTATCTATATAGGATCAAAACGACGCCAGCAACTCTAAAGTTTAGATAAGAACTTTAGGGGGCAGTGGCATTACGTTAATGGAGGAGGACTAAACTAAACTAACTCACTGCCATCAAGTCAGATCCGACTCATTGCAAGCCCTCCTTGGGTTTCTGAGGTGGTATCACTACAGAAGTAGATTGCCCAATCTTCCTTCTGAGGAGTAGCTAGTGGGTTTGAACTGCCAGCATTCTGGTAAGCAGTCAAATTAGAATAGTTATACAACTCAAAGATGTAATCATTGTCACTAAATAATACATATAGAAACTGTTGAAATAGTGTAAGTTTTGCTATGTATATTCTAAACAACAAAATA